CAGATTATGGCGAAGAGGTCGAGATGCAGCTTAAGGGAAAAAAACGTAAGCATTCATAAAGCCAAAATTTCTGTGGTCAGTTCGGACACTTACACTTAAAACAGCGACGGTGAAACCATAGGTGCTGATGTATTTTTGGGGATGTTAGGCAAAATTTAGCTATCGCTGTCCCTACCATGCACTGACGAAATATCCAAATGATAAATGATAAGTACCGAAAACAGAAAAGTCATTGAAAAAGTGCCTATAATATTAGCGCTCAAAAATTCTGCTTGCCTGCTCATAGAAAGCAATGCTGAAAGAGGCCTGGCCGAAGAAAAACGGAATAACAACGTTACTGACGTTCAGACATTTTTCTGTCAGATAAAATCTGTAAGGTGGAACTCATAGAACAGCGACGATCACCGCTACCATGCCTGCATCAGCTGCGTGTGCCTTGTTTTTGAAGATAGTGATTACAGCCATGTAGGTACTCTGTTACTCCCATGAACGGTTATTCAGATGTACCCAAATATTGTATCTCTGCAATTACAAGATCAGCAGTTTCTGTAGGCTCCATTCAACAGCCTCGGTCATCCGTCAATAACGCAATCATCATCGGTTGAACTCTAACACGCAACAGTACCAAGTGTTCCGTATACTCGAAGATTAATCTGATAACCGGTATGCCACTTGACCTTAAACGATTCTGTGGGAGAGTAACTGTCAAAGGCGAGCGACTCAGATATTGCTTGATCTTAAGGAAGTACGATGATTACAGACCCAGAGTCTAAAACCACATAGTCACCAACAGTTGGACAAAGCATGAACACGCATTATTGAAGAATTTTCTACAGGTAAATACCGAAAGAAAAACCACGATGTCACAAGCCAAAAAAATGGTTTAACCGAACAACACCGTGAAGGTCGTGTGATTAAAGAATCGTCAGTCAAAACAGGTAAATTACTGTAGAATATGAAATGGTCGACGTATCGAACATGATGTCAAATCAAACAAAACAAACGTTTTTGATGAATCTTATTATTCGCCGCATATGCAACAGTCGACTAATGTGCGGGGCCACCCAGGGATCCTCAGAACTCAACCAAATCCATAACGTAAAGTAGCCACCGGTTCTCGTCTACCACTGCTCTACCTCTGCAAATTCCGCATCATGTGAAAGAGAAGTTTTCAGTGTGCGTTCTTTAAAGCGATAAACAGAGGTCAACGAAATGGCAAAAGGAAGCTAACGCGAAACATCACCTTCGTCCATACACGACTCCGACAATCAGATCAAAAATCGAAATACTCCGTTTAAGTACATCGCGATGTTATGGATCGAGAGGAAGATCGTTCGAAGCCAAAAAGATCGCTGAGGTTACCGAGCATATGTCTTCCTGTATCGCAGAGTTTTGCTTAATAATATAACAGCTTTTAAAAGGTTACAGATTAAATCGAAATCGAAATGAGGCGAGATGAGTGCTAGAACCTGTATGACTAAGTCAACTGTTCCACGTATTTTAAAATTGCATTGAGCTGGTTTCTTTACTTCATACATTAAAAGATGCTTTGCTTATCCGCCCACAATTTCAGTGATAAACTGCTAAACGCGTCGTATAATCTGCGAAAAGCTCGATCAAACGGCCAAGCAGAAAGCTTTTACGAACAAAAGCTCTTCAAAATAGTCAGGTGGTCAAAAAGCCCAGTATGGATGATAAGCTGATTGAATCAATTCTTACATTTGACTCTACTACATTGCCTCTATAGATCTGTGATAGAAACGTCTCTAAATGTTGAGACCAGAGACCCACACAGACCACTACCGTAATACTAGTGGAACGCAACAGCCCTTCGAATCTTTCACATATATCCGGAAAGCAGTCAGTCCATTTAGTCCCGTTTCACTGACACTCACCGAATGCATATGCAACACTACTATGGAAGTAGGGCTAAAAATCACCGACGAAGA